CTGCAACTAGGCATGCAGTTTCACAATAATTACTAGAAATCAACACATGTTGGAATGTATTTGTTACACATTCCAGTAATCAACAACATGGTATTAAAATATTTATTTCCTTACAGAACATGAAATTTAAAGTAAATTCTGAAAGGATTACTACACATTTTAACTAAGATGTATCCACTTATCAACAAGTAAAATTACATTAACTGGCTGTCAAACATAAGAATTATCTAACAGTGAAATTTGGAGTGGCTTCTTAAGCTACATAGAGATGGAAAACCAGAACAAGTTGCCAGAACAAGTACTTGAGGTAAGAATCCTACAAAATTTCAGGAATTGCTTTTCACTTTCATATATAAAATATGCTGGCCTTTTTCCCACCTAAGAAACTATTTAAATAAACAGGATGACAGAAATAAAATGAAGTATAAAATAAAGTAGTTTTCCACAAGATGCAAACCTATAGAGATGCCCTGAAGTTAAATGAAAAGTATAACAGGTAGCTGGAGAACCTCTACCATGGCCCCAGTACTCCAGCTTGTCCAAAGAGAAGTCCTGCAATTAGTAGTCATAAATAAATACCCACAGATGGACTCCAACATTTATTAAATCTTACTAATTTCCATGTGGTTCTGGTGGATATGAAGTTTACCCCGAAGTTATGAGTTGTGGACTCTGGTGTAATGGTGATATGGCAATAAAATACTTGGGTTATCCCTGACATCAGAAAATAAAAATGGGACAAAAAGGTATTTATGACACAAATATTTAATTTCAGTGCTTGGCCTATATCCTTGTATAATAAAAAAATAACAATCCTGAAATAAAGTCCGTAGATCTGGCTGTTTCATGAAGTACAGGTCCCCACTACACTGTATTGGATATAATTATTCATTGTACAGGAGACAAAAAATACGACAATGGAAGTAACAGAAAGACCTTGAAAATCTTAATCTATTTTTTCCTTCCACAGTAAGACATTTCTTTAAAGACAGGAAAGATGCTACTGAAATACAAAATATACCATAAAGCTAGGCAGTGTTGCTTGAACTTGTTTTGACTCAGACAAAATAAGTTACTGTGAAGCTACTTATATATTTATATACACACACACATACATACAGATACAGTTATTAATGCTCACTGTATTTAAAAAAGATATCATCTCAGTTTGATAGGGACTAGGGAAAAATGAGATAACATGACAATGTTTATGTGGAAAATACGAGTTGATTACTGTTAAAAATAAAAAGCATATAAAATCTTATAGCATTTTATTTTTATTGTCAGACATTTGCTCTAGGAATGTGAAAAATTCATTGATATTGCAGACTTTGGTAAATAGCACCCATCCTCAGTTGCCTGTAGTAGGTGTTCTAGACCTCAGACAGTTTGGATACCATAAGAACCTGCTGAAAAACTGGTCATGACACAACTCCTAACACAAAAAATAAAATTAAAACTTACCTTTAGCTTTTATTTGTGCTTAAGCTTTGCTATGACACAGGTGGAGAGAAACTAATGAGAATATTAGACCTTGATACAGCAACTTAAAAATGTTCTTAACCTTTAGTAGTATTTTGTCCTTATTTTCTCACAGAAATATTATTACCATTTGATTTCCTCATTCTGATCTAAGGTATTTTCTATCATATAGCCCCAGATTATGTCTACACCATGAGAGACAAACTTTCCTTTGATATATTAGTTGACATATTAGTTTATTTGCCTGCATACTCAAGGTTTTTTGCCTTCAGGCATTTTCAAAAATTTTACCTAAATAAAGAGTATTTGCTGAAATAATTTATAGCCACTGTGTGCTTTTGATCAGCATGAATCCTTTCCACAGATTTTACTGATGTTTCAGGCATAGAGTATTAAATTGGACTGTAACAATAAATGCATCCCCTTTCATTACTGCCTGACTACATAATAGACAAAAAAATCATTACAATTCTTAAAATGTAAACATTTTTTTCAGACTAGCAGCTTTTCATCTCCCCAACTTTCCCACTCAATATGACCTTCTTTCTCTGATTTTTTACTTCTGATTCATTCACTCTTCAATAGCTCCAAATAGAAATGGTAAAACTTGCAATACAATATTTTAATTTATATTAGTACTATTAGGAACTATTAGGATTGTCTGGCTTGTGGCTTCCTGGCCCAGTTTTTACTCCACTTAGAAGAAATACAGGAAAGGTTTTTGGCAGCATCTGACTAACGTATTACTCAGATGCTGCCCTTTCCGTATTCATTTTTATTTGTGCTCTTCAATTTCAATGCATGAGTTTTTGCTTCTCTTGATTCTCACAGATTTAACATTTACACATTAATAATTTTATACTCCATAATGTCTCTGATATGTAACTAAAGTTAAAATGCATCTTTTAAGAAATACGTTGTAAATTACTTTTGATAGTCTGCTAGAGGACACCTAGATAGCATTCTTCATCCACATGGTTGTACAGAGAGCAAATGACTGAAACAGCCTGACATTCAT